CAGATTAACCACATAGCCTAGAAATATTGAAAAAAATTAAGAAAAAGTTAGATATGTCATGAATGTATAAAATATAATATATGTAGATACTAGTGTATCCTTGAGTGATATTTAATATAAAATTAATATGTTAGTTTTCTTCCTGTTTTATAACTTTGCTTTCAAAGAATTATATTACCGTACAGTGTGCTTCTCTCTCTCTCTCGTATTGGAGAAACTGTGTATCAGCCTATCATCACAGGCAAATGGGTTTTTTTTAGAGTAACGATTCCAATACTATATTATGAATATGACTGGAATACTGTATGCTATAAAAATCTTATGATTCATTCTTTACTGTATAGGCTAGGCTACCATGAAGCAATTATATCGATTACACCACACTCCCATAAAGCAATAATACTGCTGCTTCTTTGTTAACAATGCATGCATCGTTATACCTCTAAACAAATATGAATTTCTTTTTCACATTATCTTTCCAGTTTTGATGTCCAGAGTTACACACCAAAATGTATGACGCCTGCAGTGTTTTGTACCATATGAGACAATATTGATATGGGTACTGACAGACAGATGATTTATCTTGTAAAAGACAATGTAAACTTACAGTATTGATAAATACAGTACTATAAATGTATTTTCTCTCTCTTATGACCTTTTTTTTAACATCTTTATTGGAGTACAATTGCTTTACAATGGTGTGTTAGTTTCTGCTTTATAACAAAGTGAATCAGCTATACATATACATATATCCCCATACCCCCTCCCTCTTGCGTCTCCCTCCCACCCTCCCTATCCCACCCCTCTAGGTGGTCACAAAGCACTGAGCTGATCTCCCTGTGCTATGTGGCTGCTTCCCACTACCTATCTATTTTACATTTGGTAGTATATGTAAGTTTCTTATGACTTTCTTAATAACATTTTCTTTTCTCTAGCTTGCTTTATTGTAAGAATACAGTATGTAATACATATAACATACAAAATATGTGTTGATTGACTTTATGTTATTGGTAAGCTTCCAGTCAACAGTAAGCTGTTAGTAGTTAAGCTTGGGGGGGAGTCAAAAGCTATACACAGATTTTTGACTGTGCAGGGGGTTGGCACCCCTAACCCCTGTGTTGTTCAAGGATCAACTGTATACTTAAAGCAAGAAGAAAGGAGAAAATAGTCAAGAATAGAAATCAATGAAATCGAAACAGAAAAACAATAGAGAAAAAGAAATGAAACATAAAGCTGGTTCTTTGAAAATATCAATAAAATTGATGAACCTTCAGCTAAATGAATCAAGAACAAACGAGAGAAGACATCAACTACCGATATAAGAAATGAAAAAAGGGACACCACTAAAGACCCCACAGATATTAAAAGAATAGTAAGGGAATACTATGAACAACTTCATTTTTATGAATTTAACAACTTAGATGAAACGGACCAATAGTTTAAAAGACAAAAATTACTAAAACTCGGTCAAGAAGCAATAGAAACCCTGAATGATCCTATAACTATTAAAGTAATTAGATTTGTGGTTAGAAGTCTTCTGACAAAGGAAACTCCAGGACCTGATGATTTCATTGGTGAATTTTATCAAATATTTAAAGAAGAAATAGTGATTCTGTATGATCGAGAAAATAGAAGAGTGGCATTCATGACTTTTATTCTTTCTTAGAGGTCTTCCAAAAAAGAACAAAAAATGTATTTATTTTCTTTATGAAATAAAACTCCTATCTTGCAATTACCATGTGGGTCCATTGAAACCTCTTAGGATATGATAGATCATGGGATCTTAGTGATCTTGATTTAATCATACTAGATCTATTTCATTATTCTAAGAAATATTCAATCATTGCTCATTAATTATTTCCAGCTATGCTAAAAAAAAGGAGACTAAATAATAAGAAGAAAACAAAAAATGATGGCATCTCCTAGCAGGATGATACGATATTGAAATGAATCACCACTATTACATCATCCTTCAGTTTTCTGATTGCACTGCTCAAAGTGTAACAGCATCTTTCAAGAAGGTAAAAAGAAGACAGTGACACCATCCTTGTCATCTTATGTTAGCTTTCACTGAATGTAGTTGAAAATTGAGAATTCTTATTTCATGCACAAGTGGCAAAGGGAAGAAAACTGAGATCAGGAAATGTTTCGCAATTATTAGATGGACCAGAAGATGACGGTGAACTGGGTCATGTAAGCCAGATCTCTTGATGACTGAGTAAATGACGCGTGTCTAAGAATAACAAGGAAATTTGTTATTTTCATTTAGTCAGTCATTCATCAGGAACGACTGGATCGTACAATATTTTGTGACAAGAAGCTGACCATCTAATTCTGCTAAAAGGACCCTTGACAGTATTCTTTCATCTCTGATGATGTACATGTGCCAAAATGTACTTGATGTGGGTTGTCAGTGGATAAATGGGCAAGGCCCGTGTGTTTTAAACAAGGGAATAGATTGGGGGGAACAGATGGTGTAAACGGAACAGGTCATTGGACCAATCACTCTAACTGGTATTTACACATTTAAAAATGATGTGCAGTTACGAAGCAAACGAAATGGTCTTCCTCTCTTTGACAAAATCATGAACCTTCAAAGTTTTCAGAAGTAGTGCATTTTGATGATGCAGGTGGAAAGTGAAGGCCCGGAAGGCAGAGGGGCCCCACTGAGCGGGCAGGATGGCTTCCAATAAGGCAAGGCATCTAGGTTTGGCTGGTGGAGAGTGAGGCTGGGGAGGGTGAAAGAGGCTGAGCTCTCCAGGCAGAGGAAGTGGCCCCTCCCCAGAGGCATCCTGGGTTCCAATCTCTGTCCACCGCCCATCACCTGGGTCCTTTTGGACAAGTCAGTAACTTTTCTCTAGGCCCCAATTCCTTCAACTGCAAAGGCAGGAGGTGATGCCTCCTTAAAGGGCTGTGGGGAATGGAAAGATGTACCTTCATGAAACACAGGTACGGGGTCCGGCCATGGGAAGGCTTGGCTTTCTAAAGCAGTGCCTTGGTTGGGGTCTCAAAGCTCGCTCTCCACCAGACCCTTGGAGCCCAAGCTGGGTCTCCCTGGAACCCACCGCTTCCTCTATATCCATCCTCTACTCTGGGGCTGCTGAAGGATGTTTCTATGGCACAATGTGACCCACACACTCCACGGCATAAAATCCTCTCCTGCCTACTGACCAAGCCTGGCACTCGAGCCCCGTCACATCTGGCCCTCCTGCATCTTGAGGCCTCCTCTCCCACTGTGCATGCCACTTCTGAATATGCATCCTCCCCCCATTCCCTCAATGTGCTCCACACTCCCACCTCTGTGGTTTTGCAAATGCTGTTCCCTGACCTTGAACCACGGTCTGGTAACCTGCACCAGATGAACTCCTACTCACACCTCAAGACCCAACTGAAATGTCCTGCTTTTTCTGTGCACCTCAAGCAGGCTTAGCCTCTTGCCTCCCTGTGGCACTTCAGACATCCTTCTATTTCTTTATTTTTGTACGTGTCGCAGTTCAGCCCCGAGCCCCTCAAAGGGAGTGTTCATCTCATCCATCTTTGTACCTGAGTCCTGGGGCGACACTGAGCACACAGCAGACCCTCAGTAAATGTGTGATGAATGAACAAATAATACAACTAAGAAGGTGGAATCATCTGGATGGGAAGATTGCGCTTTGTGGTTGAAATTTTCCATATCCATTCTGCATACATTCTCCAGAAAGTTCTTTCTGAAGGATATTTTTGTGCTTTGTTTTAACATTAAGCAATCAAGTCTCATATTAAAGCTCCTCATAAATGGAGCAATTGGAAGCAGGTGTTCAACTCACGTGTGACATGATCGTTTCACTTAGAAAGAGACTACAGTCGTTTTCTTTCTCACTGGCTTTTTAAGTATAGACAAAACAAAACCAGCAAATTCAGAGGGAAAAATTAAAGTGCAAGATCAGAGGGCCTCTGCAGCCTAGCCAAGTGCCACAAAGTCCGGCTCAGTGACAGGGGCTTCTGGGGGTTCCCCCTTCCAGGGGTTGCCCTTGCCGGGTGGAAGGGGCACTTGCCTATAGCCCCTGGGGGCTGGGAGTACCTCAAGGGCAGAAGGACCCAGTGGATGCCACTACTGCGTTGTATCACTGTAGCAGCAAATGCAGTGGACGGTAACGTTTCAAAAAAATATTAATAGTGTACTTATAATAATTGGTAAAGGAGTGGCTGAATGGCTACTTCACTCATGCCTGTCAACAGATCTCAATGGAGAGCAGACTGTGACACGTCCTGGTAAGATGGGAACCCACTACCGCTTCAAGGAGCAGATGCTCTTACTGAGAGAAGCCAAGGAGACAAATGGAGTCACAGCTCAGCTGGACGCAGAGATTTTCCTGCCGTGAGTGAGGCCAGCATTGGGTGGCCGGGGGTCTGGTGGGGAGCACTGACTAGGAAAGGGCTGGAAGGGGTCCTCGCACTTCCCAAAGCAGCTGGCACGGCTGAGCCCAAATTTATAAAAAGAAAACTATACAAGTATATGTGTGTATTTATGCACATAGAAAAAAGACTGAAATGACACTCAGTATCCATCAGTTACCATAAGGTGTTCTGTGCTTCCCCAGTTCACACCTACTGCCCAGGTTAACGTCTCAGGCCTGGAGGAAGTCCACGTGTTCTCCTGACAAGCACCGCACCTCCTTCTGCATATGGTGTCCCCAAATGTCTTGGAAGGCTGAGCAACACGTGTATATATCTGACCCAAGGCTCATAAAAAGAAAAACAGATATGTATATATTTAGGTGCAAAGCAACAAGACCAGGATGATACACTTTGAAACACAAAAATGACGCTCACAGGTGCTTAGATCAGGTGTATCTTCTAACCTGTATCTGCATTTTCTAGTCTTTCTACACTGTGTAATTCTGAATGTGATTTTTCTTGAACTAAGGAAAAGACAAAATAAACAGCTCCTGGGGGGCAACTCCATCATCTGCACCCGTGTGTGGACACGGCGTTAATGCTGGCCCATGCTGCTCTCCTACCTCATGAGTCTTTGAGGCGCGGTGTCTTCTATTCTGAACGGTCTCTTCTCACACAAATTTCGAAATTCGTGGAAATCTAACGTGACGCTGAGCCTCAAGCCAAGAAGGCCCAGGAATCGCTCAAAATCCTCGTCCTTCAGGTTGAAGAGCAGGTGCTGCAGCTGATGAAGGTCGTGCATGGTGACGATGCCATCCCTGTCCGTGTCCATCTTAAAGAAGGCCGCGTAGGGGTCCTAGAGTCAAAAACGCAGCGTCAAAGCCTGTCCCCCAGAACCTGACGTCATCCCCCCACCCCTGCCCCCCGCGCTGTGGACTCATCTCCAAAGTGAGGAAGGAACCGTGTTTCGACTTGGCATTTTGGAGACTTCACTGCTCCGGGAATATCCTTGCCATGATTTGCTCTCCCCGGGAAATGATGAACTATGTCCTCAGGTACCCTCTTTTAATGCAAAGAGTTCAGGAAAAGGGACAAGAAAGGTGTTTCTTTCCCTTCTGCTCCCTCGGCTTCTGGGACTGGTACTTCTAGTACCAGAAGTAAGAATGAGTACGCTGGAGCTTTCCAGGACATATAAAAATCTTGCCCTCAAGTTTTTATACCACTTTCATAATGTCTGGCAACTTCTGTCCACGGGAAAGCCAGTGCTGTGCTGATCTCACCCTGAGTTGCCGCCCAGAGGCTGGGCCCTGTTTTGATGCCTGTGCTGAAGGCCCCGCCTGAAATCTGCCTCTGTGTCTGCAGGTCGTGCTGCACGAGCGCGGTGATTCCCATTTTACAGATGGGGAAACAGAGGCCTGCAGGGAACTTGCGGTCGAGGCCAGGCTGCACAGCTCAGGGCACACACTGGAGGCGGGTTGCTTAGTTTCAAAGCTCAGCTCTGCTGGCTACTAGCAGAGTGACCAAGGGCAAGAGACTTAACCCTGCCGGGCTTCTCATGTGTAACGGGATCCGGGGTGGTTGTGAGGATTGAATGTGCTAACGAGGTGAAGCACTTAGGAGGTGACTGACAGGTTTCCTAAGGGCTCTAAAATGTTGTTACTATTACTGCTGCCTGAGGTCGGACAGCAAGTGCCCGGCAGCGGGATCTGAAGCAGGTCTGTCCGGGCCAACACCCTGCGGCCCCCGCCAACGCTCCTGTCTCAGGCTAGGAGAGCTGCAGCTGCTGTGGCCGCAGTACGCCTGTTGCCATCAGCCCCTGAGGCAGTCCCACCCACGGATCTCTCTGGGCACTTCGGAGGCCCCGCCTGTACCTTCACGTCCCAGGACCCTCCACAGAGGTCATGTAAGGCAAGCCCTGCCGTGACTCGAGTGTCCACTTCAAACCTTCTGGGATTTTGTGGCAAGATCTATCTGTACTCACTCACTTCTTCTTTCACCAAAAATTACTCAGCACTGACACATGCAATCACTGCACTAAATACGGTGGGAACCGACTTCAAGGGCTGCCCCTACCTCTCAGAGACGCCACTGTCCAGCGGCCTCTTCTCCAGGAGCACAGCCGGCCGGGGCTGCAGGCCCACCTCTGTGCTGCTGATTCCCTCCACGTCACAGCTCCAAGCCCTCGCACGCCTCCAAACCCCCGTCTCCAAAGGCTGTGAGGTAACTCCCCTTGGATGTCAAAACAAGCAAGGCCGAAATCAAACTCCTGGCCCACGCGAGACCCAGCTCGTCCCCCATGTCCTTCCAGCTCGTCCTCCGGGTCCCTCACAGCTCGTCCTCCGGGTCCTTCACAGCCTTGTTCTCTGGGTCCCTCACAGCTTGTCCTCCGGGTCCTTCC